GAAAGATGTGGCAGAGTATGTGGCCTTGTGTGACATTTGTCATAGGGTGAAAGCTAAGTACCAAAGACCTATAAGGTTGCTACAACCAATGAAGATACGTGAGTGGAAGTGGGAAGAAGTTGGAATATATTTTATTGTTGGATTACCTCGCACGTAGAGAGGTTATGATTCAATATGGGTTATAATGGATTGGTTTACTAAGGTTGCCCACTTTCTACCGATCAAGACTACCTATACAGGAGCGAGACTAGCAGAGCCGTACATGGAAAGGATAGTGAGTCTGCATGGAGTCCCAAAGAAGATCGTGTCTGATAGAGGTACTCAGTTTACATCGCAATTTTGGCAGAAGGTACATAGCTCTTTGGGAACCAAGTTGAATTTTAGTTCTGCTTATCACCCCCAAACTGACGGACAAACTAAAAGGATCAACTAGATTTTGGAAGACATGTTGAGATCTTGTGCACTGCAATATAGTACTAGTCGGGATAAGAGTTTGCCATATGTTGAGTTCTCATACAACAACAGTCACCAGACGAGTCTCAAGATGGCACCTTTCGAGGCTTTGTATGGACGTAAGTGCAGAACCCCGCTATTTTGGAATCAAATAGGAGAGACTCAAGTGTTTAGATCGGATGCTCTTAGAGATGCGAGGAACAAGTGAGGATGATCAGAGATAATTTGAGAGTGGCACAGTCCCGACAGAAGAGTTACGCTAACACCCGAAGACAAGAGTTGACTTTTGAAGTAGGGGATTATGTGTACTTGAAGGTGTCACCAATGAGAAGTGTGAAGAGGTTCAATATGAAGGGAAAGTTAGTACCAAGGTACATTGGTTCCTTCAAGATTCTAGAGAGACGTGGAGAAGTGGCCTATCAACTAGAACTACCTGAGAGTCCGTCAGGTGTGCATGATGTGTTTCATGTGTCTCAATTAAAGAAGTGTCTACAAGTACCGGAAGGAAGATCTAACATATGAGTCATACCCGATAAAAATCTTAGAGACGACAAAAAGGATTACAAGGAGTCGAGTTATAAAGATGTGCAAGATACAGTGGAATCGGTACACTGAGGATGAGGCCACTTGGGAAAGAGAAGAGCATATGAGGAAAGCATATCCACAGTTGTTTGAGTAAGCACCACCCAATCTCGAGGACGAGATTCTTTTAAGGGGGATAGAATTGTAACACCCTAAAATTTAAATCATTTAAAAATAGGTGAAATTGATTTATTTATGCATTTATGTGTGCATTTCAACTTAGGAAAATAATAATTATGTGAAATTAAAATCAACTATAAGGTCTAGATACATGTTGTTGCATTCATGCTGGAGCATTGTTTCTTTGGTATTGTGTGGCTTGGATCAAATCTGAAAAAGGAATTCAAAATCTTTTGAAAATGGATTTGGAAAATCGCTTTGGAAAAAGAAAATGAATTTTTCCCTCTCCCTCTCTTCCTTCCATTTCGGCCCGTTGGCCATTTCTCACCCGTGCTCCTTCTTCCTGCCGCTGGCTCACCTAGCTGGGCTGGCCCACAACCACCGCCATGGCCATTGTCCCTCCCACCTTTGCTCTCGCTGACATGCCGGACCCACCCGTCAGCACTATCCCTAACCACCTGCACCAAAATCGCGCCGCCCTTATCCCGCTGCCTACGCCTGATCTTCTCGGTGTCATTGGCAGCCCGCACATGCACCGGCTACTCTATATAAGCTGCCGCCCCCCACTTTGCACTCCTTTCCCATGTATGCGCAGCCGTTGCCCCGTATCGAGCACGTAGCGCCGCCGCAACCCTTGCTCATGCCGTCGAGCTCGAGCTGCCATTCAGCCACCTCGCAATCATTTTGGATCAGCTGTCGAGCTTCTTCGCACGGTAGTGATTCTCCCCATGTGGATTTTTCCTTTCTTTTCACCTTTGTTTGATCCTCTCGTGTCGCCGACGTGCAGGGGCTTCACCGTCTGCCATTCCTAGCCGCGAGCCGTCTTCGATCCATCGCACCTTCATTTTCATCCACGGTGAGAATCCCCATTCCCCCTCTTTCATCCCGTGTGATTTTTGAGTCAAACCGTGGCCTCTAGGGCTGTTTCGCGCGTGTCGGCGAGCTCTTCTCATCGCCGGGCATGGCGGTCATCGCGCGGGTCGTTCCCCGGCCGCGTAAAGGGCCCAGGCGTGATCGCCATCGCCCCCGCGTCATCCCCATGCCCTCGGTTCATCAAATCGTGGCCCGTAGGGCCCTTTTCGCTAGCGTCGACAATCTTCTCGCCGCCAGCCATGGCCACGCCAGCTCCTGTTCCGGCCGACGATCTCTCTCTCTCTCTCTCCGTTCTAATCTAGTCCGTCCAGATCGGATCCAATGGATCAGATTCATCCATACCCCTTCGCGTGGCAAATTTGTTAAAGAGACCCTCAGCCTTTCACTATTTACGCCTGCGGTCCTCGGCCTGATTAAAAAACCCCTAATTTTGATATATTTTAATTCGTTTAAGTTCGCTGTAATTACGGAACTGCCATCCAGATCCCTTTTTCATCATATTTCACCCGTTTTAGACCCGATTTGATCCGTTTGAGTTGCGTTAGGTTCGTAATTAAGTAATCTACATGTTTATTACAATGCTAATTACATTTTCAACTTTTAGAATTCATGGTTAGATTTAATCTATTAAACTACTATAGGAAATCTTGTTTAACTCGTAACTTTCACGTTTTAGCTCCGATTTTCGTGATCTTTGCGTCTGTGTGTTCTTAGCGAGACATAGATTCATTTTATAAACCTTTTATCTTGTTTTATCTCTGTTGGTGTACTGTTCTAATCTGTAGTCTTGTTTGCTATACAGGATTGCTCGTGGATGCTTGTATGTTGATGTGATGATCGAGTATAGACGGTGAGTAATTCGCGGGTGACCAGAAGTACTACTTAAAAGACCAGGACCAGCAGCAAAACTTTGAGCAAGGCAAGTATAGCATGGGATCTCCTTATCCTATTTACTATTTAATTATTTAGTCATGTGCTTGTGTCTAATTTGATACCCGCAAGGATCTCCTAGTTATTGTCACCTTGTACCTTGATTACCGATGGGTTATACCTGCATATGGGTAGTTTGCTAGCGCTCAATTTAACTATACATGATCGGAATGATGACTAATGATTCTATGGAACGAATGGTAAAAACTTGCTTTTAGCAACTGGACGATAGGGCGAGAGAGCTTGGCTTTTGCACAAGATGCTCTTGGATCTCCCTAAAGACTTATTTGTTGGCAAAAGCTGGGACATACAGTACAACCGGGAGTGCCACATGGCTCTAGCTTTAGCTCAGTAGTAGGATATTTTCTAGCTTGCTAGTGGTTACCGAAAGGCACAAAAGGGGTGTGTTCCGGGTTGGGTGTAGTGCGGCCTCTATTCTTAAGTGTATAACCTGCGCGGAATGTGCCTTTAGAAAGGGGAGCTCTACATTCGCAGGCCGCAGAAACTTAGTGGCCACTAACTTGTTAGGGAAACTTTTGAAAGGCTAGATAGTGAACCCTACCGACCTCCCTAGGAAGGGGGTTAAGAGATTAGCTACCTCGGGTGAAAGGGTAAATCACGGCTCGTGGGTAAAGATGTACAAACTCTACAGAGTATTAAAAACTGTTATAATAGCCGTGCTCACGGACACGAGCGGCCCGAAAAACTGACAGAATAGTTGCTCACTTGATGATGATGTTATTAATGATGATAATTCTAATGATGACTATTATTGATGTTTATGATCACGTGGTTTAATTGGGCTTATGCACAACTAAATGCTAATATAGTGTTAAAACTTTGACTTATTAAAATGATAATCGCAGTAAACCAGTGTCAGCCTCCTGAGCTTCATAATCCCATGTTATTCTTGTTGAGTACGGGATTTACTTACGCTTGTTTATTTTTATTATTTAGATAAAAATTCTGGATGGGTAACAGATGACAATGGTTATGAGAACTACCCTGAGGATTACTAGACTTGTGGTTCACCGGTCGACGTCCCTGTGGAGTTTGAAGGCTCTCGTGGAGAGTAGCTATCTTGTTCTACCGCTTTTATGATAGATTTGATACTATTATAATGAATTCTTATTCGTGATGTAATAACACTCGTGATGATACTTTGTAATTTATCAGCTTATGTATGCGACTGATCTCTGGACGCACATAAGATTTATGCATCCCATTTTATCCTTAAAATCGGATATGACAGTATAACTATAGTCACTCTATTTTTTTATAAAAAAAATACTACTACAACTATAATTATTTGATAGAGCAAAATCACCATATATATTGAACAAATGTAGTAAAGAATGATCGTCCTTGAACTTTTTTTTTTCGCGACCGTCCTTAACTTTATTGTGAAGAAGGCATAAGTTCAGGCTCGTGCGTTCTGTCCAAATTATGCAGCCATATCACGGGCAGGGATCTCATACAAGTCTTCATTTCTGGATTGACGATTTATGTCACCGATATATATGTTTGCACAAGCATGATGCGTGGAGATGCCCATCGATATACGGTCATATACGGTTGCAGCGGCGGCCGGATGACGGCAATGTCTTCGCGGATGAGAAAATTATACAAGAAATGTGAAGGACTGGTCCCAGTAGCAGTGTAGCACGCGCCGGATTTCCACCAAGTAACAAGTACACGGCTGCTATCGAAATTCCAAATCTTTAAATTGCGTTGCAGCTATAGTCGATCGGCAGTCGTCGCAGCACGTGAAAACAGAGAGTACGTACCTGTGGAGAGATTTCCCGCCACAAGTTCGTAAGATGTGGAACAGTAGTGCCAGCACAATTGCACAAATGCACAATGCTGGACGCCTGGACCAACGTAGCTAGTCCATCCTGATCTTCAACTTCAAAGTCCAACGACATGCAAAGCCCTGGTCTCTATATAAACACCACCAACATACCACCCCAAATCACCTCACAACAAGGTGTGCGCTTCGGCAAGGAAACCAACAGTCAGAAACTGAAGCGCTGTGATCCGTTATGGAAAGCGCCACGAGGATCATGGCGGTCCTGGCTCTCGGGCTGCTAGCACTCCTCTGCGCTGCCGGCCCAGCCGCCGCGCAGAACTGCGGCTGCCAGCCAGGCTACTGCTGCAGCCAGTATGGTTACTGCGGCACGACCGACGACTACTGTGGTGCAGGGTGTCGCTCGGGCCCGTGCCACTCAGGGGGGGCGGCGGCGGCGGTGGAGGTAGCGGCGCGAACGTGGCTAGCGTCGTTACCGACGCGTTCTTCAACGGCATCAAGAACCAGGCCCCGAACTCGTGCGAGGGCAAGAACTTCTACACGCGAAGCGCGTTCCTGAACGCCGTCAACGCGTACCCCGGCTTCGCCCATGGCGGCTCGGAGGTGGAGGGCAAGCGCGAGATCGCCGCCTTCTTCGCGCACGTTACGCACGAGACCGGACGTGAGTTCGTTAAACCGCCACTAATGTTCAATTCTTGCATGGTGGTGTCCTGGTCTCGCTGATCAATTCGGAACTTAACTTCGCATGGCTTCATCATATATATATTTACCGACAGATTTCTGCTACATCAACGAGATCAACGGCGCGAGCAGGAACTACTGCGACGCGAACAACAGGCAGTGGCCATGCGTCCCGGGGAAGAAGTACTACGGGCGCGGCCCGCTGCAGATCTCGTGGAACTACAACTACGGGCCTGCAGGGAGGGACATCGGCTTCAACGGGCTCGGGAACCCGGACAAGGTGGCGCAGGACCCCGTGATTTCGTTCAAGACTGCGCTCTGGTTCTGGATGAACAACGTACACCAGGTTATGCCGCAGGGGTTCGGTGCCACTATCAGGGCCATCAACGGCGCCCTCGAGTGCAACGGCAAGAATCCCGCCGCGGTGAACGCGCGGGTGGGCTACTACAAAGACTACTGCAAGCAGTTCGGTGTCGACCCGGGGAACAACCTCACCTGCTAGCAGTTCAGGTGCCGGGTTCATATGCATGTTTGGCTGCTAAAGAATAAATAATACTCGGCGTAGCGTACTTGTACCGGCGCCACGAGTACGTGCTACTAGTAACAATAAAACTGCAGGACTCATGAATAATGAAGCATCTGTGATATGCATGCTAAGTGCCACGAATAATTGGCTGCTGGGTATCTACAATTCCAGCGTTCTTTGCTGTTGCGTGTAAGGGTTCAGCACATAATAAAGGTGTTCGTTTAAGAAATGAGGTGGTTCAATATTTTCTCACTACTTGCTTTTTGATTTATATAATGAAATGGATTATCTCCATCCATCGCCACTTCATCCATCACAACACAAGGAATGAAGGAATGGGATTATTTCACTAAAATCGTCAGTGGGATTTAGGTTGACAAATATAATTATAGTAGAGTACTAAATTCATAATGTATGGATCATTTGTAGTATTTTAGTACATCTCTAAATGGCTCTACACCACAAATTTTATTAGAGAACATAAAAAAAGCTCCAACAAATATGTCATTCTGCATCAGTTTGGCTCTCTAAAATTGCCCTTCTCGTTCTCCGCCCTTGGAGAGGCTCGCTCTCTACATGTACGTCTGGAAAAAATCATGCCTCCCACGCAAGTGATCTCCTTCCATGCGAGGTGCGACTCAAGTGTGCGTCAGCTTTGAAACTCATCATACCGAGGCCCGTAGAAGGCTCGGTGCAAGCGGGTTGACCGTACAAGGCCTCCGAAATTTTGGGATGGAAAATGAATGCTCTACCTTCTTATAAACTATCGTCCTAGTTTGATTTGCCTTCATGAACTCTAAAATCATACATCTTACCCCTAAACTCTCAAAGCCGTTCAAATTACGTTTCTATTCTTATTTGAAGTGGTGTTAAAAGACGATTTTGTCCTTCTTTTAGCTAAAAAAATTGTGATCGAGGTTTTTAAACCACAAAAAAATGTCTCCAAGCTTTTAAAAATTCCAAAAATAACAGATACAGATTTGGATACAACAAATCAAAATATAATATTTAGAGTTCATGAAAATATCCAACGATCCTTCAAAACATAGATTTAGCTCTACGAAAATGGAAAAGTATTCAGAAAAACTCAAAATTTTCTAAAACATCCTAATTGATATGTAAACATGTTTTTAAAAACTTTCACAACAAAAAACGTAATACGCAACCAGCATGAATGCATTCAACATTAATATATGTTGCATTCATGTTGGTTGCATCTCTTATTTTTGCCATGCAAAGTTTTTAATGCTTATAGATCGATAAGAATTGTTTTCATAATTTTCAAGAATTTTTAATATTTTCCATTTTATAGAGATAAACCTAATTTTTTGAAGTCTCTAAAGATGTTTTCATGAGCTCTAATATTTTATTTTGATTTGTTGTGTCCCAATCTATCTCTAGATTTTTTTGGGTTTGAAAACTTTATCAAGTGTTTACCAATTTTTTAACTAAAAAAGAACAAAACCATCTTTAAAACCACTCCAAACCAGGATAGACAGATAATTTGAATGATTTGAGAGTTCGGGAGGTAAGACGTCCTGTTTTGAAGTTCGAGAAGAAAAAGTATACTATAACGATAATTTAGGGAGGTAGAATGAACTTTACCCCTACTAAAGTAGTTAGATCCACTTTGGAATGGAGGAAAACACAAGAATTTCAAAGGGTTCAATTGTATAGGGAAAATTCCTATGATACCAATTGGAGAAAAGGAATGCTTCCCAACAATTCCTTTAAAATCGCTAATTGGGCCATTCTAAAGGAATTTTGGAAGAAACTAAGAGCATCTCAAGAGCCTTTCTAAATCTCACTCTCTAAATCATTATTTGAAGAGCCATTTACATAAAAATCGCTTTCTATATCTTTTCACTCTCCAACAGTTTTTCTATATCTCATGCGCACTATAGAGAGCCATTCTCGTCTTTCATTTTTTGCCAGGGAAAAATCCGGAATAGAAGATAGGTATTTCTATTTAGATGACCATTTAGAGAAGCCGTGGAAAAGTATTTTTTTACCAAAATCTCTATTCCTAGCATTTAGGAATAATATAGAGAGTCTCTTGGAGATGCTCTAAACATGAGCTCCAACCTCATTGTTTTGTTTTTTGCTACATTGCGTCCAAAGGCATCTTCCCAAAATTTAATTTGTTCTTGAATCATATAGGATTTGAAGTTTTATAGCATTTTATTCCTACGCGTTTTTCTTGTACTCTGTGAATCTTTTGTTTCGGAGGGGGGTTTAATGGGCTTGTACGGGCAATTGGCCTGCTACACAAATCTGTGGCCTGCGCTGCACATGCCGCATATGAGGTACGAGCCTCCGACTCCGCTCCAACTGGCGTCAGAGGCTTAAACAATGGTAGTGTTGTTGACAGGTTTATTGATTAGGGAAGTGCTAGCTTCCGGTACTCCGTTTCTCCTGCGCGCATGCATTCTAGGCGCGCCCTCACGCCAACATGCCCATGTTTGTGCCTGCGTTTCACGCGCCCATGCGGCGACCACGCCGTTTGGACGTCACCCGCACTGCCAAACCGTGTGCGAGGACCGCTCTCACCTCCTCCACTTTTCACGTGCATTACAACAGGTGTAACACCCGATCTATTTCTGCAACATCCAGATGAAACATTTGCAAAACACTTGAAAGCCATTGTAAGCATATGCAACATCCAGATAAAAAACTTGAAACATATGTGGAAAAAACAGATGAAATATTTAGAACAAACGCTTGCAACATACGTGTATAGCTATTGCAACATATGCAACATCTCGATCTACTTTTGCAACATCCATATAAAACACTTGCAACATACCTCTGGAACATCTGAAACACTTGAAACATACGCTTGTAACATGTCACGCGCGACACTCTAGTGGGCGGTGACCACCATGTCAGGCACATTGAGGAACTTGATAATCGTCTCGATGGGCAGATCGGGCTGGGAGGTGGCGGAGCAAAGAGCACCACTGACTTGGCCGCCATGAACTTCTTCCGCTGGGAGCACCGGGGCGCGAGGAGCGTCAAGGCGGGCGCGAAGTATGGCACGGCCGTGATGCCCTCGTCGTCTCCAGCTGCAGGAGGAGGTGTCGAGGAGGACGCCGGTGCTGGCTCCGGCGATGAGGGTATGGGTGGGCGGCAAGCGCGACTCTAGCGGCGGAGCCTGGCGTCGTGGAGGCGGGGGAGGGCTCGGGGCGGAGCAAGCGGAGGTGGTCGCGCTGGAGAAGGCGAGCGGTGGGGAAATCCACGGCAGTCGTGCGATTTAGATATGTCACTGTCTTTTTTCTGGAGAAACCGTGAAAGAATGAAGGTAAAGGATCAAGAACAGGCTTGTTGGGCTGGTAGTGCGTAGGCCCAGAAACGCAGCGTCCGGACGGACGCCCGCACCACGGCATTACCGAATTGGTAAACCTGCATCCCCAAGAACGATATCAAATCTGGTAGGCAGAACAAAGTGGTTTGAACATCTGTATCTAGTACAAAATTGAAACAATGTATACTCAAACAAAGGTGTAACTCAAACACCGTATCCTAAGTTTTACATTCAAAAATTTTGAGAGATATTAGGAGTGACTTCTACGGATTATTAGAGCCGGAGTTCTGCCGAATTACTCGGTGGCATTGAAGTCTAGAAAGGACAAGAAAACAAAGGTGTAAGCGTGCGTGTCAAACTATAAGCAACCATCGACGGCAGCAATATTGGAAGTCTTCCCTTCTGATTGACCGTTTGCATGCTGGATTGGACATACACGTAACACGCATCAGGTCACCGATATATATCCTCACATGCACGATCCATGGACTTGAACAGCATACGGCTGCTAGAGCTAGCGGCGGCCGGATGGCGGCAGCTGTACGTGTACACCAGAAAGGATGACTCGTGGCCGGTTAGTTAGTACTCAAGTTCAAACTGTGGAACAGTAGTGCCAGTGCAAATAGTACTGTAATACTCAATCGATCGACCTAGTCCATCCTTCTTCCTCCACATCGAGAGGTTGCATCATGCGCGCACTGACCGGTCGATCTCTCTCTATATATAAACGCCAAACCACCGTGTCATATGCCATCCTCAAAAGTCATAACGTGTAGCTAAGCAACCGAGCTGAGACTCTTATCCAGTACGACGATAACTCACCGACGCCGTCACGCCGATGATGATCCTGACGGCCTTGGCTCTTGGTCTAGCACTCCTCGCTGCCGCCAGCCCGTGCTTGGGGTTGGGGAGCGGCGGCGCGTCCGTGTCTAGCGTCGTCACCGAGGCGTTCTTCAACGGCATCAAGGCCCAGGCCGGGAACGGGTGCGAGGACAAGAATTTCTACACGCGGAGCGCGTTCGTGAGCGCTGCCAACTCGTTTCCGGCCTCTTCGCGCATGGCGGCACGGAGGCGGAGGGCAAGCGCGAGATCGCCGCCTTCTTCGCGCACGTCACCTACGAGACCGGATGTAAAGTCGCCGCTCTACGGCCTATACATGTTCCTTAATATAAATTGCATGATTTGATTCGATTCCTTGACGGTGGCTTTTGCCTTCTGCGTACATATACAATACAATACATGTACGTGGCAACAGATCTCTGCTACATCAACCAGATCAACGGGAACAGCCAGGTCTCGTGCGCCTGAGCTCACAATGGCCGTGCGCCCCGGGGAAGAAGTACTACGGTCGCGGCCCGCTGCAGATCTCGTGGAACTACAACTACGGGCCTGCCGGAAAGGCCATCGGCTTCGACGGGCTCGGGAACCCGGACAAGGTGGCGCAGGACCCCGTGATTTCGTTCAAGACTGCGCTCTGGCTCTGGATGAACAACGCGCACAAGGTGAGGCCTTCGAGGTCGGCCTCGTGTGCGACGGCAAGTACCCCGCCGCGGTGAACATGCGGGTGGGCTACTACAAGGAGCACTGCAAGCAGTTCGGCGTCGACCCAGGGAACAACATCACCTGCTAGACGTGCCGGAGTATAGAATAAATGGCCTGGCGGCTGAAGTGAACCTCAGAGATTCACGGATGTGTACTACCGTAGTAGCAATAAAAGATACAGGGGCTGGGTCTGTGTTATTCGACCTGAATAACGTAGAGTGGCGTGAACTCTCAGCGAAAATCAAAATATCTATCTCTATCTTTGTATATACCTATATATTAACAAAAAGTTTTCTAGACAAACAAACAACACTCAACACCCACCGCTCCTACAAAGAATGGATCGGTTATCTATCAATTTGTTTTACTCCATAATTATGCATCAACATTTCGTAATTTTATATTAAACGTTAGTTACCAAATGATCTCAAATGAAAAAGTTTCAATTATAAAGTTTTAAATCTTGTAAAGTACCACAATTTTAGTTTAGTATTGAACGTGTCTCTATTCAAGATTGTTTGAAATTTTCTACAATTTTAAATTTCAAAATTTGAGAACTTAAAATAAAGAAAACTTCAGATTAAAAAATTATCAACTACTTCTAGATCGGGTCGACCATTATAATTTTGATATTAACCATGCGAATATTTAAGGTTGTTTGAAAATTCTAAATTTTAAACTTCAAAATCTAAGACATTAAAAACATATTTGGAGCTATAAGCAACTCCAAATAAAAAATTGTAAACTACAAATTTGTAGATTATATTGAGAACTGAAACTTTTGTAGTTCACCATGTATCAAACCACTATTTTACACTTCAAAAAAAACACTCACTTCTGTTCCTTGTATGTTATTACTCTATTAGTTATATTAAATTTCTGATTGTCTACTCCGTATCTGGGTGGAAATGTTCTCTCTCACACTTTTTTTCTTTCTTTCTGTCCTAATTGCATGCATAAAATTGCTTTCAAAATCACAGCTGACCCGGACAATAGGGTAATTTAAATGGTTTTAGAGTTCATAGAGATATTCTGATCTAAAGTTGGAGAAGAAAATCTGGACTCCCGCAATAGGTCGTGAAGACAAAAGCAAAATACGATATTTTTCGTTCGGTAATGCTAGGTACAGCGCGTCTGTCCGCACGGATGGTGTTTAATTATGGACTAATTAGGTTCGAAAGTTTCGTCTCGCGATTTCTTACTCAACTGTGCAATTAGTTTTTTTCGTCTACATTTAGTATTCCATGCATGTGTCGTAAGATTCGATGTGATGAGTACCACGCAAATTTTTTTGGAAACTAAACAGGCCGGTCTGTGTTCGCTACAGAACAGAAAAGATGGGGCGCACTTATGAAGACCCGGCTGCTGTACGGTGCACCTATGATGGTCTGTCGGTCAATGAGATACCGGTGGCAACTTGAATGCTTCGTCAGACGGATCATAACTACGTCTACATTTAGAACGTACGAGTACCAAAAGACATTGTAACTGCAAGCCTGCAAGCATTGAACTTTTGTTGTGACAAATGTGTTGTTCGACCGTATTGGTTTCACTTTCCTGTGGAATGGCCCTTCGTTTCAAAGAGCCTGTCTGCAAGAGCGGAGGGGTTTTTCCCCCACGCCGCTGGAAACGTTCATTCCTTTATCAAGGCCGTGTGATTGCAGATTGCGTTACAAACTTTCTGATTCTGATGGAAGAATTTGTCCTCACTGTCCTGCTCGGTTCGCTGAAAAGCTACGCTAAAAAAATACCGTAAACACGCTTCAGCAGTCAGCACCCGTGATGATCTTGGCGGTTTGCTGGTGTCTTGATTGGGAAGGAACGCATGATTAACCCAGCGCACGTCATTCCATAACAAATTCGCGGTGGAACGGAACAAACTGTACTCACCTTCTATTGCCTTGTCTTTCGCTAGGCTTATAAGCCGTACTTCCAACGAACAGTATTTTTCTCTCACAACAAATCAACCAACAGTATTTTCAGTCATGATTTATCAGCCAAGCGAACAGAGCAATATGATCGTCGGAGTACGAATCCAGATATCCAATCAAACATGTCATAAACAACAGGGTCGTGATAGGTTACTTCCTAGGCCCTGTTCGGCTTACCCATATTCGACTTGTTTAGTTTTTTTTTAGTCAGAATCGTGTTTTTCTCTCACAATAATTCAACTAGAGTAGTGTTTTTCAATCAGTTTCAGCTAAGTTTCAGACCAGCGAACGGAGCCCCAGCTATGAAACCGTGATTTGCGGAGTAGCGCTGCCGAAAGCCAGGTGCCACCACATGTGCCGCGTCGACCGCCGCAGGGGAGAATTAGCAAGCTAAGCACATGCCATCACAAAAAACGAGTTAAGCAAAGCACCCCATCTGGGTAATCACGTAGGCTTTGCGACTTGAGGCGGACATGCCCCGGCCACTTGCACGAGCGGCGCCCAGCATGTTCGGAAGGCCGTATCATATCGTAAATTATTTACTGTTGATTGATTTGGTATGAGAAAAAAATAATATTCCTAGCTAGAAATTTACGATTATTTAGGAGCAGATGAACAGGCTGCCGGGACTAACGGGAGAGCGATTGCTTTCCCGGCGGAAGCCCGTTTCACTTCCTTTTCGTCTTCATAAAAAACCATTCTTTTCGTTTCTAATGATGATATTTTTTCTGTTGCAAACTTGGGCTCTAATGATTTTCAGATGCTTCGCTCATGCAAATAATAAGAAATTATTATTGCTCATAATTATAATATATTTTTCTCTCTTCTTTTTTAAAAAATATACTCTCTCCATCTCTAAATGAATAATTTGTTTATAGTTGTTTTAAGTAAATTTTTCTAAGTTTGACTGAGCATCAAGATTTATGAAACAAATTAGTATCATTAGATACATCGTAAAATAAATTTTTTATCATATACTCATTTGTTGTCATGAATATCTGTACTTTGTTCTTAAATTTAATTAAATATAAATTTTTTAATTTAAAACAAGTCTAGGAATTGATTTAGTGTAGGATTCCATAAGAAACGAGCATTCAACCATACGGCCGTTGGTCTTTGAACTTTACCTTTTTTTTTCGAAGCGAGGTCGTACCCCATTTCCATTGATGACAACGGAAATACAAAGTTTGTAGAGACATACAGACGCAGATTAGAAAGCAGACGTGACCGCGAAGGTTGATAGCTATTACAAGAGCTAACAACACACCTGATACTAGCAGCAAAATAACGACGGTACCAGAAAAAAGCTAGAAGCGAGTATCAGCTAAGACCAACTACGAGAATCCTTAAGGAAACCAGCAAAGATTTATGCCACAAAACAAGATAACAAGTGCGCAGTGCCATCCCAACATCTTGATTGCTTCAGTAGTCATTCAGCCTGCTCTTCCTGATCATCCTCCAGAAGTTGTTGCTTCCTCTTTGCCGACTTCTTGTTTAACAGCTTCAACGCGATCTCCATCATCAGATTGACGCCACGCACCAGAGCTTCTTTGTCAGTTTCCAGAAACAGCCCTGCCCAGTAACATATGAGCGCACATGCAAAACATACAATAGTGATTGGATTTGTTATTTTTTTGCCTTCAAAGCAGATATCATTCCTAGTTCTCCAGATAGTCCAGCATATAGCTGCAATGCCCAAAGTATGAAACTTCTGTCCATTGGGTAACCATTTTTCACACCACTCCCAGCATTGCTGAATATTTCTGGGAACATTATCAGCACCAAGGGCATAAGCTACCACTGCCCACACCACTCTGGCAGTACTACATTGAAATCGCAAGTGAGAAATGCTTTCCTCTTTATCACAGAAACGACAAGTTGGGTTACCACTTACCAGCCCATTTCCTTCTAATCAAGTTGTCCTTAGTCAAAATAGCATTATTCATAACTAACCAGAGAAAGATTTTAATCTTTGCTGGGATCTTCCCCTTCCAGATTTTCTTATGATAAGGACCAACATCATTTGTAGAGAGAGCATTGTACACAGACTTAACAGTGAAAGAACTTTTGTTACCAAATTTCCAGAGGATCACATTCATGCCCGGAAGGTCAACCACAGAAGTAATCTTCTTATTAAGACAGGCTATGGAGCGGTTTAGAGAGCAGAAGAAGGACCTCCACTTGGTTTTCATTGACTTGGAGAAGGCTTACGATAAGATACCAAGAAATATTATGTGGTGGTCTTTGGACAACCATAAAGTCCCATCAAAGTACATGACCCTCATTAAGGACATATACAACAATGTTATGACTAATGTTCGAACAAACGATGGTAACATAGATTACTTCCCGATTAAAATTGGACTTCATCAAGGGTCAGTTTTAAGCCCGTATCTTTTTGCCTTGGTAATGGATGAGGTTACTAGAAACATACAAGGGGATATCTCTTGGTGTATGTTGTTCGTCGATGATGTAGTGTTAGTGGACGAAAGTCAGGCGGGAGTAAATAGTAAACTAGAGTTATGACGGCAGACCCTTGAGTTTAAAGGTTTTAGATTGAGCAGAACTAAAACCGAACACATGAGATACGACTTTGGCGCAGTTGTACAGGAGGAGGGAGATGTGAGTTTGGAAGATCAAGTAGTGTCTAAGAAGGATACCTTTCGGTATCTGAGATCGATGCTACAGAGGGATGGAGATATTGATGCGAACATTAGCCATAGAATCAAAGCAGGATGGATCAAGTGGCGACAAGTTTCTGGCATTCTCTGTGACAAGAGGGTACCACAAAAGTTAAAAGGCAAGTTCTATAGAACGGCAATTAGACCGACTATGTTGTATGGAGCAGAATATTGACATACAAAGATTCGACATGTTCAACAACAGAGTGTTGCAAAAATACGTATGTTGCGATAGATTTGCGATCACACAAGAATGGACCGAGTTCGAAACGATGATATACGTGATCGTCTAGAGGCAGCACCAATTGAAGAAAAGCTTGTTCAACATCGGTTGATGTGGTTTGGCCATGTCCAAAGGAGACCTTCAGAGGCACCAGTGCATTGTGGAGTCCTAAGCCAAACTAATAATATGATGAGAGGTAGAGGAAGACCGAAATTGACATGGAGGAGGCAATAAAAAGATATTTGAAAGCTTG